GTTTTATTCCAAACACGAACAGAACTTTCCGGTAGACCTAATATATTAACTCTTCATATTTCACATATTATTAAGCAAATTAACTAAGACTTTTTTAATATATATTTGATTTCGAAATTTCTTTGATTTGTGATATTAATTTGAAATAGCGTAACTTGCTCCACTCAAGTACGATGAAATTTGCTCCATCTAAACAGACCTTTACACTGCTGCACTGTTTGCAGTACATTATTTATATTGAGGTCATATTATAATATTCCCAGAGACCAATATAATTACGCGTTAGAGCTATTGTATAGACCTATTGAAACGGACGAGAGAATACGAGCCTGAAGCGTAGGAATATCAATCATTAAAGTGGCCAGCGTAAGTTGACATTCTGTACTTATGCGAAGCTTATGCCGGAATTTCCAATTTCAAATTTGATCGAGTTGACCGTGTTATCGAGCCTGTATAAATTTGTGTGGGATGGATTTTATTCGTCACGCGCGGGAAATCAGATGACTGAAACAAGTTTGCATGCATCGAGACCAATTGATACGCGCAGCGTAAGCCGGTACATTATTCTCGCGAAACTGATGCTGGGGCGTATCATTGGTCCATGCGCCAGACTTTACCTGTGTTATGTAAATTCGCAAACGCGAGCGCGCGCTGACTGGACAACCGGAGCGAGTTTACACGCGTTGTATTACGAGTTAGTATGTAAAGTTAAGGCACGAGATGCATTACGAGGTTAATCCGCGGTTATACGCCGGACCGAAGCTCACCGGGGAGTTTCGCTGTCCAATCGCTTTTGAGGCACCGCCACTCCGATTTGGAGTTTTGGAGAGCGGGACCAGGAACCTCCCCGGGGCGATGCATAGGGATTGCCATTTCAGCGCTTCCGCCGCTAAAGCGATTGCATATCTTCGAGGCAAACTTTTCCTGCGGTCATGTTCAATCCGGTCAATCCGCCGGTCTCTAATATGCGCCCGGAATAGAGGAGATCATTAAAGCAGCACGATGTAGATAATGCGAACTGAGCTGCATAATGATAGCGGACTCGATCCTTTGATATTGGAGAGACAGTACGTTTAACGATATACAAATATCTTGCGTTGTGTTATTAAACTTGGATATAAAAATTTTATATTTTCTTTTCCATATAAAACAATTTTGTAAAATAAGTCTTTTAAATTTTTCCTCAAAGTAAAGCTGATGTTTATTAAAAAATAAAAGTTGTTAAATATTATATCAAAATAATTTAATGTGTATTGCGCACATATCAGTATTTGTTACAAAAAAAAAAAAAAAAAAAAAAAAAAAGTCTGAGGAGACGTTCCGACATTTGATATCCTGAAAAATGTCTTCCACTCTCTACATCTTATTCAGGAAATAACGAGTCCTGATATAAGACGACACGAATATCCATATAATCATGCGTGTTATTCGCGCCTGAAACTTATTTGCTTTTTGCCGGCGGCTAAAATACGAGTTCTTCATATTCGAGGCTTCTCATCCATATTCAGTGATCAAACGACAAACGCGAAAAGGCGAAGATACCTTGTAAGTCGTATAAGAAGAAATAAAGTCGTCTGAGATGTCGCGAGCATCCTCAAAGAAGATGCGATTTATATCCCATTGGTTCTATATTCGACGGAGTTTTCTTCCTTCTTTCCTTCCCCCCCCCCCCTTCCCACGTGCGTGTTGCAGATTTTTCTTTCATTCATGTATTATCCCGTCTTCAGCACGTTCGTACGAAATGTGTCATACACACTCTATTGTCGAAAAATATTTTAATGATACTCTTTGACAGATTTGAAATCCAAGCATGTACGTAAGTTTAAAGAAACAATAAATTATGCAGTTATTTATCATTAGAAATTAGGATTTGAGAAAATTGAAAGATAATTCAATTTATATATATAGGTATATATAATTCTATATAAGCATTTAAAATCAATTCAAAAATAAAGCTATTTAAAAATAAATGTAGAACAATTATTTTTTCCGTATATTTCAGGAAGAAAATGATAGTGTCACAGCGAATATAAATGAGTAGATACTTTAGACGCAAATATTTACCACCGGTCTGTTCGTTTTAATTTTAGATTTCCGGCTACGAGCTCGTATTATAACGTAATTATACTCGAAATTATCTTATATAGTCTTTCTCTTGTTATTACAATTTCAAGAATAATCCCGCGATAAATCTTTGATAACGATAAAGGGAATTAATAGCAGCAATTAAAGCAAAATATACGTGTACGTAAAGATGTCGAGTAACGAAAGAGAAACTTTGCGCCGAAAGAAGACCGGAATGGAAAATAGATCGGATTCATTTCAAGGATGCCTGAGATGTCCATTTTTGTCGTCTAGAGACAAATCTGAGCTATAATAGTCCGTAAATTCTCGACCAGCTCTTTATTTTCTTATTGCAACAATCTCGAGTGTAAAATTATTTTCTTCCTAAGCTATCTTGACTCTCGAGAATTTACATCGCTATTTCTGAATATTATTAAATATCTATTACGTAAACAACAAATTCCAGAGACATTATTAGCATTGTTTTGATATTTCTAGGAAGAAGATATTTCGCGTATAATCGCCGCTTGAGAAAAAACATCGATCATGTTTGACAAACAATACGCGTAATGGAAAGAACGGTTATGAAAATTAATGTACATGATATTAAGAAAATAACTTTTGCCATCGTGCGATATTATCGGGAAAGATCTCGCTGGTGCGACGTAGAGAAGTATGCATTGAAAAAAATTGCAAGACTCTGTTCGACTTTAAGTATAAAGATAAAAAAAAAAAAGATAAGAAAAAAACCATGACATAGAGAGATGGCATTCCAAAAGGGTCGCAAAATGGAATATTGATCCTACGCGCTTTGAGGAGCGTGTTTCGTATCGCGAGCGTGTAACGTTCGCCTGCGCCGTGCACTTCCGGAACCCACCGTAACATCCGTTCTCTCCGTCCGTTTCCTCGGCGATCGCTGAATATGGATGAAGCACCACTCGTACTCGTCGGCGGATCGGTATACGAGCTTAAAGTATCCGGCGAGATACGTAGAATATTTTGCTTCCCTTTCTCGATTACGATTGTACCTGATATATATGTCGTTATTCCCTTCTTTCGGAAAGAAGGCTCGAAAATTGACGAGAATTATGCGAAATGATAAAATAATAAAAGATAGTAAAATCTGTTAAATGTAAATATTGACGACATTAAGATACTGTTAAGATATTACTTCGAGTTCGCGCGCGTAAGGGATATATACATATATATTATATATATATTTCGATATTTTAATATTGATATTTTTTATATATACTTTGATATTTAAATACTTTATCAAAATCGATAATTTCTTACCAATATTATAACATTGATGCCAATTATATAGTATTACATTAAATTAGTAATATAATTTTCTGCAGAAAATGTCTCGAATCAAAATATTGATTATTAATGCTATCAATTATTGAGAATAATAATATTTGGTTCAAGTTGCTTTCTCTTCAATATGTTTTTAATACTTTATTTTAAATTAATTCTTTTTATTCGACAGGTGCAAATATTTTTATATTTGTTTAAATTTTAAATGGTTTTTTTACGTGTGCTGTGTTAAAATTCTAAAAATTCAAATTCAAAATATATGTAAAAATAATAATTTGACGAATTCCGAATCATAGCACACAACGATATTTCTTTTATGTATTTTTTTCCTATACTTTTTGACATAAAATATTGCCATTTTACAATGTACGCACAAAATACAATTATGCAGGGTTGTATAGAAAATGAAAAAAATTGTTTAAATTTAATAGGGTATTGATAATTTCGCTCATTTATTTGATATGCTACAGAGAAAATCTCTTTTACCTTAATAATCAAACTATGCCAATAAAATAGCAGATAATACTGACGCTTGTGTAATGTTTGACATCGAATAAAGCAAAGCATCGATATTCTATTAAATTTGATCATTTTTACTTTAAATTGACACTCACTGTCGTCGTCACAATTGCAATCCGAAAGCCGAAACGTATATATCAAATGATATATATATAAATCAAAATCCAAAAAATTTGTAGCTATTGAAAAAAGTTACCGTGTAAGATACATTTAATTCATCTTCAAGAAGATTGTTCTCTAATGTAAGATGCATGAAAGCCTCAAATATTGCAAACGCTATTTTAATTATTGAAATTACAAGTGGTAAAAGTAATTAATATATTTGATTAGTGATTAATTAAACAATATTATATTCGTAAATGTCATAAATAATATTAATTGTTGATCGAAATATTTTTACTTTTGAATTTGTATTAATTAAAAGCTCAATAAAACGGAAACATTTGCATTGGTCCTTGATGACGCGCTTGTATTATCTAACTATCCTCCCAAATAGCAAGGTAGACAAACTCTGATGATTGATTTTACGGGCGTAGAATTGATCCTGTTTTAACAAGTAATGAACTGTATTCGTACGCTTCGTTTTTTGTCTATCATAACAATCAAAACTTGATTTTTATACAATCTGAAAATAGAAAATATACCAACACAAAATTGAAATATATATATAAATAAACTAAAAAATATAATAAAAAGATAAGCAAATTATGCATATAGCCTAAAAATTCAAATTCTAAATATATAAAAATTAAAATAATAATTTGACGTTTTCTGAATCATAGCACACATCGATATTTCTTTTATGTATTTTTTCCCTATATATTTTAATATCAAATATTGTCATTTTACAACGTTCGCACAAAAATACAATTACGCAGGATTGTATAGAAAATGAAAAAAATTGTTTCAAATTTAATAAAGTATCGATAATTTCGCTCATTCGTTTGTTACAGAGAAAATGTCATTTACCTTAATAATCAAATTATGCCAATAAAATAGCAGATAATACTAATGCCTGTGTAATGTTTGACATCGAATAAAGCAAAGCATCGATACTCTATTAAATTTGATCATTTTTATTTTAAATTGACACTCACCGTCGTCGTCACAACTGCAACCCGAGAGCCGAAACGATGTACGAGGCCCCCACTCTCGTCGATTGTGTTTGACGTTCACGTCCATGGCGTCGTTTTCATTTCGGGGCAATGTCCAACAAGACCAGAAAATTTATAACGAATGTTCTAGTCGTCCCCGTTTTTGCGCATTTTGACAGTCCGCGACGCAATATTCATTTCGAAGGCAGTGTTTCACACGATCGAATATTTGTCCGCGCGCGATCATTTATTATTCGGAATATCTCGCGTCCAAATAATCGCTTAACGACGATGCGTTCAAATTCATCGCGACGTCGACGATCCCGCGCGTACTTCACGCACATTCGTTGCCGCATTCCGATTTTCGATGCGACGTAATACGACACTTTCGGCTCGCACTTTTCAACGAATTCGAAAAGCTAAACTGTCAAAATTTACTCGCGGCTACTTTCGATATTCGCACACACGCACACACGTACACGCACTCGCGACGAAATCGGAACTGAAGTAACTCACGCGACGCTACTATGTATGACGTAGATATCGTCGCCCCGCGCGAAAGGCGCTATATTTCCATCTTTTTTGCGACGCAACGAGTTTGTGAAGTTAGTCCATGACTCGATAGTTCCGCCTGTGCGAGCCAATTCCACTGTCGAAATTCACTCGTTCTCGCGATTCCGGCACACACGCTTGCGATGAGAAATTCACGCGACGAAATTAGATATCGGAATAAATTCAAACCGGCCACAGACAAGTACGACGTATATATGACGGAGATCGTTGTCCCGCGATAGCGTCCCGGCGACGCGATATTTCCACTTTCGCGAGATTTGATACTTTTCCACGTATAATTGTTAGCTGCTGCCACACATCCACTTCCGAGACTGAAGGACTAACGACTAACTCGACCGAGTAAAAACACGTGACCTTCGCGACGAGTAATAACAACAACGCGCGCGAGACACAACAGACCGACCCGTACGCGACCGCGTAGTCGTTACTTGTACCATAGACGCAAAAAATATAGATTGTGATGTCACGTGCACATAGACATAGTATATCTAGACCGAGTGTTGAGGAGTGGGAGCCGAGGGGCACGAAACAGAGTATGTCCTTTTCTACGTGCATCTTTACCCCCACTCCTTAAATAAAGGCAAACGCTCGGTCTAGATATACTATGTCTATGCACGCGCACTTCATTTACCGCATTAAAAATATTTCGAATGATTTAATTGGTCAATCGGAACAAATGAGACAGACGATTCTCTGACCGATATTTTTCATCGATAATGACGATCGCCTCCGATATTTTATATTTACATTTAAAAAATTTATTCTTTGCGCGCGAAATCGTAAACGGAGCGTTCCGACAAAATTCAGACGATCGAGCGAGTGCGATTTACATCGATCGCATATATAATAATCGCACAACAATAATATTTCACTCGACACTACCGCGACGTTATTTGACATTACTCACATATTTGACGGTACTCACTCGCACGTGTGAATCGCTTCGATGCGTAAAATCAACGGAGAATGCACGGAGTGATTTCGTCTCGCCAAATAACAGACGCGAATGCAAACCGAACATAGAGAAGGAAGACGAGATAGAGCACGGTATAGACATGGAGCTATTAGCACTGGAGCGTTTGATTGACCAATCAGGAGAGAGGCTCAATCTTCGTCCTGATTGGTCAATCAAATTCTTCGAGGCATTTATAACGCAGCTCGAGTAATACAATGCATAGAAAATGCATCGACCAATCATGAGTAATCTAATATGAAGATTGCAATACACTGTACTATATTTATATTAATCGTGTGATCAATTCGTGTATGAATATGTATTATGCAACGAAATGGCCTTTAATTCGTATCCGATATACATTGAAAATCGAGTTTACGTAGGATTTTGACCAACCGGGACAAAAAATATTTGTCTCGTTCGTCGGTTTCCTAAAAAAGACATAATTAAGTGAAATTGATATTAAATATTTTCATTTTTGTTAAAGAAATATAGACAGTTTACACAAAAATTCTTGCATATGTGAAAGATTTTTCACTTTTATTATAACTTTTAGGAGAAAAATAAAGAATTTTGATTCTAGTTTTCTCGATTAAATTACGTCGAATTTATTTTGACATAGATGGCGAAGGACTAAACAGGCTTTGTCTCCTTTCTTGATTTAAACGGAGAGAGAGAGAGAGAGAGAGAGAGAGAGAGAGAGAGAGAGAGAGACGGAGAAGTCGCTCCGCGTTACCGAGTTGCCGCCCCGTTGTTTCCCGGAAGTGCTGCTTGGATCCTCCACTAACGTTCAACGTAGACGCTTTTGGCTGCACTGTAAACGGTCTTATTAATGATGACTCGAATATCCGAGTTAATAGTGGTTTCCAACAAATAAATCGACCGAATAATGTCACAAGATACAGAATTTTTATAAATTATCTTTAATCTTTTCAAAATATGATCAATAGTAAAAATATATATTGAGCCGAAAATTTACAAATCTGTATGTCGAGCAACAAACGCATTCGCGACAAAAGGAAGCAATTTGATTTGCGAACAATAATCTTAAAAAAAGACATTTATTCAAGATTGGCTAATCTCGTCACTTCAATATATATGTTTTATATACATATAACAATTTATATCGTAACGATAATTTTAATTTAATATAAAATTAGAGTATTAATCGTAGCTTTAAACGCATTAAAGTATTAACCGTGTATTCCTTGCATAGATTCCGATACATACTCGATCACTATCGCCCGTCTATAGAATCGCCATATCAAGTTTCTTATTCACCTTGTATCGGTTATTTGAAGCGACAAAATTATTCTGTGCGTTCCCCGTTGATTTTACGCATCCGAATAATTCATACGTGCGGATAAGTATCGGTAGTGCCGAATAACATTTCGGGAGAATCGAATAAAATATCGAAAGATTGTTATTATACATCGATGTGAATAACATTTGCTTGATCGTAATCTGTCGGCAGGAAAATATTCCGTTTGATAATTTTGCATGTCAAGTGAGAGATTTAGTATCAAGTGTACCGAATAATTCCTTCGGGAGTGTAAATTAAATATCAGAACAATCGTCATTATTCATGATTTATCGATTTGAAAGCAATAGCAATTGAATAATTATATCGTTCATAAATGATATACTCTTTGCATACATTATGACTATGATTAGATCTCCATCTTGATGCTACAAGTGCTAGTGGGTTCGATTGACCAATCAGGACGAAGATTGAAACTCTCTCCTAATTGGTTGATGAAACGATCCGGCACTAATAGCGCCTCTAATAGCGAAAAGATGTCTACACTGTGCTCTAACTTGTCCCCCCTCTATGTTCGGTTTGCATTCGCGTCGTGTCGGTTATTTGGCGGGACGAAATCACTCCGTGCGTTCTCCGTTGATTTTACGCATCCAAGCGATTCACAGACGTGCGAATGAGTATCGATAATGTCAAATAACGTCGCGGTAGTGTCGAGTAATAGTGTCGAGTGAATATCGTCGTTGTGTGATTATATATACAGGGTAACGTGCGCCCGGCTAAAGATCGGTGCTGATTGGCCAGACTTAACTCAATAATAACTTCTTTATTAAGCGTTATAAAAAAAAAAAATGATAGAGAACTTTTCGACTATCTGCACACGAGTATTGTCCCAAATGATCTGGGACACCCTGTATACGCGATCGATGTGAATCACTCGCTCGATCGTAGCCTGAACTTCGTCGACGGAACGCTCGGTTTGCTGTGACAATTTCGCGCTCGAAGAATAATTTTTCGACAAGTGTAAATATGAGATATCGGGCGATCGTCATTATCGATGAAAGTAATATCAATTAGGGAATCGTATCGTTCACACGTACTCCTTGCATAGATCGCGATATGTGGTTCATTAATGTTCCCGTCTCGCGCCGCCATTTGCATTAGCGTCGGTTATTTGGCGGGACGAAATCACTCTGAATTTGCCGTCGATTTTATGCATCATAGAAATTTATATATACCGTGATTTAGTATCAAACAATGTCTCGGAAATATCGAATAAGACGTCGGGCGTTTGTTACATCGATCATTTATCAATATATGAGTGATAGCAATTGTATTAGAGAATCGTATCGTTTGCGAACGACATACTTCGTACATTATACACAGATCGCGTTACCGCATTGCTGACTATACAGTGCCCCTCCCCCCCCCTCCCCCCTCTCGCGGCTCCATCTTATCGTTAGTTTTGTATTCGCGTCGCGTCGATTAGCAGGTGTAACGGAATCGCTCCGTGTTTTACGCGGATTTTACACGACAAAGTAATCCTTACATGCGCGAGTATCGGTAGCGCCGAATAATATCTCGGAAGTATTGAGTGAAATATGAAGCGATCGTCGTTATGCGGTAATTAATGTACACGATCGATGTGATCGCTCGATTGCGAATCTCGTTTTGTCTCGGAACGATGTCGTGCCATTTGCTATACGCGAATTACGTCGCTTATAAGTTGGTAATGCCGAATAAGATCCTGAAAGTATCGAATAATGTCTCAGGAGTGCCGAATAATATCCCGGGAGTGCCGAATAAAGTCTCGGGGATATCGAATAATGAAATGGCGCCATTCAATCCGGCAACATTTCGCGCAAAATGATTCGCGTATGAGTCAGAATTTTGTTTACGTCTCGGGAATATCGAGTGTGTCGCGAATGTCGCGTAATATTTCGGAAACGCCGAATGAAATATCGGGCGATCGTCTTTAATTCGCGTATTCGATCGATACGAATCGCACTCGTTCGATTATACCTGTTTTCTCATCCGCCGACCATGAGTCACCATCATATATGATGTAAGTAATTTATATTAATTTACTATTAAAAATGTCTAACAAAAATTTATGTTATTATTACAGCGTTATTATTAATTAAGATATGAACTATTTATATGTAGCATTTTAAATAGCTTGTTTTATATATTTTTTTTCAGTTTTTCTGGATGCTGCTGATTTATTCTGTAATGTGTGCTTGGGATATGATTTATTCTACAATACTGTTGTACGATGGTGAGTCTTATTTTTATTCATTTTTTATTTTTACGTATTGTAAACTGCTTTTGATTGATTTTTGTTAAGCTGGCGTTAATTGTTAACGACACGCAATATTGTCTAAAGTATCATTTATTCAAATTTATTATGCATTTGTGACAGGCAATTTATAGGATCGATATGGGATCGACGGTTGATGAGGGGCGGTATCAATAACCGCAACAAACATGATTGAAACCGGCATGTGAGCTTGGTTATGTCGTGTACCAATAAAGTGTACTACAACGTACGGTTATGGTTCACTCGCATTAGGCATTGGCAAATGTTATTGGCTTTGACTGTCGAATGATGCGCGTTGGCTAATGTCAGTTTGACACAACGGCTCTTCAACATCCTCAAATTTTCATTTTTCTAAAATTTTTAAATTTATAAATTAGAAAATATATTATTATTTTATTATATATATTTTATTATAATTTGATAATTGAAATATATAAATCAAAATTTAATTCAGGGATTTATAACGTCAAATTTAAAAATTAACTTTACGCAATTTTGTTATTTGATTTACAATATAATAGTAAAAATATATATTGAGCCGAAAATTTACAAATCTGTATGTCGAGCAACAAACGCATTCGCGACAAAAGGAAGCAATTTGATTTGCGAACAATAATCTTAAAAAAAGACATTTATTCAAGATTGGCTAATCTCGTCACTTCAATATATATGTTTTATATACATATAACAATTTATATCGTAACGATAATTTTAATTTAATATAAAATTAGAGTATTAATCGTAGCTTTAAAACGCATTAAAGTATTAACCGTGTATTCCTTGCATAGATTCCGATACATACTCGATCACTATCGCCCGTCTATAGAATCGCCATATCAAGTTTCTTATTCACCTTGTATCGGTTATTTGAAGCGACAAAATTA